CGTGATGAGCTGTAGACAGGAAGAGAATGGTTCAAAAACAAATCCAATGCGTTTGTCACCGAGACTGGTTCAAAAACTAATCCAACATGTTTGACATTGTGAAAGCAATTCTGCCTGCCCTATACACCTAGCATTGAATAGCAGCTGAGGCACAAACCAATGACCGTTTATTGGTTAGTGCAGCTTAGAGAGGAAAAGAGCGCTCGGTTTGATGCAAGGGAGCTCACTGCTAATGCAAACGTGGCAGAATCAATGTCAAGTGAGACTGAGATCACAGGGATCTAAATCACATTCAGGAATAACAATACAAGAAGAGGTAATAAAATTAAAACATTTAGACTAGATGAGAGCAAAAACTGCTCAAAGTACATAGCAAGGACGACATAATAGAAATGAAAGGGGGAAATAATGTGCTATTGAAAGTGTCAAAATGGCAAACAATAAGGCCAGTAAGCTTCTTCATTAATAGTACTTTAATCCCTATACAACTTCTTTTTTTTACCTCATTACATAATAGCACCAGACGTGCAAACAACCATAATTGTTTAATCTTCATTTTACCAGGAAGTCCTGTTGAGATCAAGATCTCTTTTCTAAGGGAGACCTGGCCAAGATGGTAGCTATACAACTGTACATGAGCTAGATCTCCATGAAAACAGCTAGAGGACTGAAAACAAAGCAGAGAGCTCACACAGAGATCTCAGCCAATTGAATCTTGCTACTTCAGATGCTCTCAAATGTTGACATATGGTACAAATGAATAAGCTAATCAAGACCAGAACTGCCAAACATTAACTGAGTTGAGGCACTTCATTGTTGGCTTTAAGTTTCTATATGTATATTGCTGAGAATACTATTAAAATGCTGTCCTTATCCTTTAGTGAGCTGTTGTTGCTCATTTAAAGTCTACTTCTGCATCTTTACTGTTCCCTGGAGGTTATAAAAAACCTCCAACAGGGAAAAATGAGAAGGGGGTTCAGGTTATGCCCATACAGTCTGCAATATTTAATTTAAATCCCTGACAAAAAATCCTTCTTGACTTGACATTAAACAACAACCTTGACAGACTGGACCTTGAACACCCTAGCACATATAGCTCTAACAACAACAACAAAAAAAGATAATTAGTCAATAACGATCACCTCACAGGGTGTTTTCTCCAGCGGGGCATTGCTCTCTAAAGCCTGCACAATCTGGGAGGCTGAGGGTCTCTTCTTGGGGTCCTCCTCTGTGCACAGATAGAAGAGCTCCACCATCCTCTGGTATGAGCTGCCCAGAGACTCAGCATCCAGTGGCGGCCTCGTTCCCAACCTCTCATAATAGGCATCTTCATCAAAACTCTCCTCCGAGTCCTCTGAAATACAGACAGCACATGCAGTAATGTGATTTCCTTAATCAGTTAGTCTAGGAAACAAATCAGGTGACATCTTTTGTCTGACCAGAGGTTCAAAATAAAAAATAATCAAATTATTAAATGATTTTTGGCTCAAATTACAACTAAAGAGTACAAAGTTCAGTGGTTTCTAGTGTGATCGGAAAGTCTCACCTTCACCGCCCTCATCATCCAACATCTCCAGATGAGGCATGGCCAGCGTCATCATCTCCCACAGAGTCAGACCATAGGCGAAGATGTCGGCCTTGTCGGTGATCTCTCCGCCCTCCTTCAGCGCCTCTTTTGGCTTCCATGGCTCTGTGCCTATGTACTCCACCTTTGGGTCTGACACTGTGGACAGAGAAGAACAGAAAAATTCACCACTCAAAGTTAGTGTTTGTAAAACACCAAGCCCATGTTCTGTTTTACAGTCAAAGCAACATTCAGTTGTTCGCAAAGAGTTTAAGTCCAAAATGGGAAACACCCTGGTTGCTGATACACAAGAAGAGTCAAAGCATGACATGCAAGAATTTGAGGTTTTGACAGGACAGAGAAACAAAGTCGATCCACTGCTGTAAAGTCAATTCTAAGCAAATGTTTCTGCCATTTGTGTTTTTGTTTGTTTAAATTCTGCTTCAGAGACTTCTCTCAAGCTGTCCAACAAGGCTTAGATCTACACCTGTGTGCTTAAAATGACACTGCTATTTAACGGGTATCAAGTTTATCAAGCTCATCATCTAAACCTGAACAGCTGGGGCTGAGGGAAATGCTATTAGTTTTGCATGTATCAGTACTGGACACATTTAAACATTTTACCTGGTTATTGCACTAGATTAGAGATTAGCAAACTGACAATTTATCCTGTGGGGCAAATAAATATTTAATCATTACCAGTTTTTTTTTTTTACTGAAACAATAACACATCAACAAAACAGGACCTACAGTGCCTTGCGAAAGTATTCGGCCCCCTTGAACTTTGCGGCCTTTTGCCACATTTCAGGCTTCAAACATAAAGATATAAAACTGTAATTTTTTGTGAAGAATCAACAACAAGTGGGACACAATCATGAAGTGGAACGAAGTTTATTGGATATTTCAAACTTTTTTAACAAATAAAAAACTGAAAAATTGGGCGTGCAAAATTATTCAGCCCCTTTACTTTCAGTGCAGCAAACTCTCTCCAGAAGTTCAGTGAGGATCTCTGAATGATCCAATGTTGACCTAAATGACTAATGATGATAAATAGAACCCACCTGTGTGTAATCAAGTCTCCGTATAAATGCACCTGCACTGTGATAGTCTCAGAGGTCCGTTTAAAGCGCAAAGAGCATCATGAAGAACAAGGAACACACCAGGAACACACCAGGCAGGTCCGAGATACTGTTGTGGAGAAGTTTAACGCCGGATTTGGATACAAAAAGATTTCCCAAGCTTTAAACATCCCAAAGAGCACTGTGCAAGCGATAACATTGAAATGGAAGGAGTATCAGACCACTGCAAATCTACCAAGACCTGGCCATCCCTCTAAACTTTCAGCTCATACAAAGAGAAGACTGATCAGAGATGCAGCCAAGAGGCCCATGATCACTCTGGATGAACTGCAGAGATCTACAGCTGAGGTGGGAGACTCTGTCCATAGGACAACAATCAGTCGTATACTGCACAAATCTGGCCTTTATGGAAGAGTGGCAAGAAGAAAGCCATTTCTTAAAGATATCCATAAAAAGTGTCATTTAAAGTTTGCCACAAGCCACCTGGGAGACACACCAAACATGTGGAAGAAGGTGCTCTGGTCAGATGAAACCAAAATCGAACTTTTTGGCAACAATGCAAAACGTTATGTTTGGACACACTCTTGTGTGTTACAGCCTGCTCAGTGTTTTATAACTAAGGTGTCACTTTATTTTTAAGCTCATTTAATAAGACAAGTTGAACCAGAACAGACTCATTTGGAGCAGCATAGAAACACATACAGTACACACATGGATCACTGTGTAGAGCTATGGGCAGCTTCTGCACAACTTCTATAATTAATTAAAGTCCCACTCCAGAAACATTTTCATTTTTATATTTGTATATAAAAATACTTTACTATAAACAATATGCAGTCTAACACAGCTTTTCCTCAAAAAAATTTCAGTGGGCCTCTGTAATAGGAATGAACATTGCCCCTCATTGTGCATTCCAGGATCTATGAATGTTGCCGTCATCCCTTATGTGGATTTGAATAATTTTGCACGCCCAATTTTTCAGTTTTTTTATTTGTTAAAAAAGTTTGAAATATCCAATAAATTTCGTTCCACTTCATGATTGTGTCCCACTTGTTGTTGATTCTTCACAAAAAATTACAGTTTTATATCTTTATGTTTGAAGCCTGAAATGTGGCAAAAGGTCGCAAAGTTCAAGGGGGCCGAATACTTTCGCGAGGCACTGTAATGTGGGAGACAAGACAACAGATACATGACATTACAAAAAGATGTAGTGTTTTACAAGATTGTAGTGTGTGTGTGAGGGTGTTTCCAATTTGTGCAAAGGGAGGAGGAGGAAAAAAGAAAAATTTACCAATAAGAGTACTACTAATAAAGGTAGCTTGTTACATTTTTAGAGGTTGGTGGGAATCAGAAATCGTTACCATTCTAAGTCTGGGTTGCAATAGTTCACTTCATTTTGGATTCAGTTCTAAGATGGTAAAATGCCTGAATTTGTTGAGCATAGCCAACAAATCCCTTATTGAATCTTTCTAACTTAACTTTCTTATCACTGAATGCTAATGTAAAATGCTGTTTTGTGGTGATTTGTTTCTATACAGATAAACTAAATTGAACTGAATTATTCTGTCACAGGTCTCAGGTGCAAATATCAAAAGGTTCTCTTCTATTCAGGACTCAGAAGTGACTCATTTCTCTACTGGGATCTTCAATTTTTGTTCAATAAATCTGGTGTTTGGCAATATGACTAGCAGTATATAGCATACAATATACGCTGATCAGCCACAACATTAAAACCTCATCTCATTACAATGGCACCTCAAGTGGTGCCATTGTGGTGGGATGTATTAGGCATTCTGGAAAGGCAGGACTAAGCAAGGGCCATGCAGTATTTCAAAACTAGCAAGCACAAACTGCTTTTAGTCTCATGCACAATTAGTGGTAGTCCTTTGTGTTCCCAGTTTCTCTCCATACAGGGTACAGTGTTATTTGGGTTCATGTCATTGTGTAGCTCATGACTGTAAACATTACCTCTCATGTTCTTGTCCAGCTGCAGAGACACACCAACATCACAGATCTTGACCATTTCAAAGTCGCCTTTGATGACCACGTTACATGACTTCATGTCACCATGCAGCAGCTTCTTCCTATTGTGAAGATACTGCAAAGTCCAATACAGAGATCATTACTGATACATTAGGCTTAACAATGTCCTTCTGTATTCAGGTACACATTAGGTTCCGCATTTATAAAATTAAGTTAAAACATGGCTGATGTTGAGGACACAAATATGAATTGGAAAAGAGCAAAAACTGACATTTTGACTGGATCTTTGTTTACAGTTTCCTATGAAGATGTTTGTTTAATAAACATATGTTCTTTTTTTTTTAATAAAAGATCAACACTTCTTCCCATTTCATGCCATGTCTACTTAAAGCTGGGCAAGCTGTCACTCAGAAACCTGCCTGTCGTGTTGAAATTTTTACCTATGAGAATGTCCGATCCAGATGGCACATGCTATCACGAGGTAGAAGGGGTGTAATAATTTACCTGCAGACCACGCGCCACATGCAGCGCCACTTTTTCTATGTTGGCCACAGGAAAACATTTCAGGCCATCCTCTCTCCTCTTCTCTATCAGGTCATTGAGCGACTGCTCTCCTCCATACTCCATGGCCAAACACCTGGAGCCATCTTTAGCCGTGGTGAAGGCTCGGAAACCTTGTTGTTAGGACAAGGATGTATAAAGTTAACAATAGGAATATAATGCCAATGTATATTTAATGTGACAGAACAAAATAAAAGCTATGTGGAATCAGCTATCATGTCCAGACCTATAATAATAACCAAATACTGACTTAAATACTTAGTGGGAAAATAACAAGCCAATCAAAAACACAGTACAACTTATGTAAAGTTTGAGCATTTGATTTGAATCTAAAGCAAGTGATCAACAAAGTAACTACTGCTTGTATTTTTTCCTATTTGTGACAACTGTTAAAAATTAATGAAATGTGAGATAGTGGCTTTTGTAAGGGCCACTGATAGGGTAAAGACTTTTGTTGCTGTTCCTACAGTTGAGAAAAACATTTCATTGCTGCTGATTTAAAAACACCTGAGCTTTTGTTGGGCCATATGATCAAAGTTCTGATGCAATTCTGACATGTCTCAGTTCTGAATCTGTTACACAGGATACAATGAAAGTCTGAGTAATATCACCCAACCAAGCCAACCAATCACAGTCAAAGTACTGTAACGATGTCTTGTCTTACCAACAATATTCGGATGATGGATTTCCTTCAGGACCTTTGCCTCTTCGTTCAGGCGCTTCTCATAAACCTTCACCTGTTTGGCTGCACATTTACGGTTGATCTTCTTTACAGCCCAGGGAGATGCATTCAGCTCCCCAACTCTGAAATCATTTGTTCAACAATACAGTGATTTGATTCAATATTTATACACAGCTTCAGAAACAGCACAGCAATGTTTATTCTCTTGTGCTGGATATGGGTCTGCATGGTTATAGGGAACCTAAAGCTACACACGCTTTTCATAGCCAGCTAAAAGTCTTTCAATTCTTGTACTTGGGATCTTCTCCCATTCTTCCTTGCAAAAGGCTTCTAGTTCTGTAATATTCTTTGGTCGTCTTGCATGCACAGCTCTTTTAAGATCTACCCACAAATTTTCAATGATGTTTAAATCAGGGGACTGTGATGGCCATTCCAAAACCTTCAGCCTGCGTCTCTTGAGGTATTCCATAGTGGATTTCGAGGTATGTTTAGGATCATTGTCCTGTTGTAGAAGCCATCCTCTTTTCAGCTTCAGCTTTTTTACAGATGGTGTGATGTTTGCTTCCAGAATTTGCTGGTATTTAGTGGAATCCATTCTTCCCTCCACCCGTGCAATGTTTCCTGTGCCACTGGCTGCAACACAACCCCAGAGCATGATAGATCCACCCCCATGCTTAATAGTTGGCAAGGTGTTCTTTTCATGAAATGCTGCTCCTTTTTTTCTCCAAACATGCCTTTGCTGATTGTGTCCAAAGAGTTCTATTTTAACTTCATCAGTCCACAGCACTTGTTTCCAAAACGCATCGGGCTTCTGTAGATGTCCTGTTGCATACTTCAGACGTTGGATTTTATGATGGGGACGCAGATAAGGTTTTCTTCTGCTGACTCTTCCATGAAGGCCTTGTCTGTGCAAGCATCGCTGCACAGTGGAACGGTGCACCACCACTCCTGAGTCTGCTAAATCTTCCTGCAGGTTTTTTGCAGTCAAATGGGGGTTTTGATTTGTCTTTCTGACCAGCATACGAGCAGTTCTGTCCGAGAGTTTTCTTGGTCTTCCAGATCTCATCTTGACCTCCACAGTTCCCCTGATCTGCCATCTCTTAATTACATTTCTTACTGTGGAAACTGCAAGCTGACAACGCTTTGCTATCTTCTTGTAGCCTTCTCCTGCATTGTGGGCGTCAATAACTTTCATTTTCAGGGTCTTACACAGCTGCTTAGAGGAACCCATGGTTGCTGGGTGTCCACAAGTGTGTGCACAAGGTTTGAAGAGTCAAAGTATTTGTACAGCTTTGAAATTGGCATTTACCAATGACAGCTGTTGCTGTGCATCAGATCTAACGAGCTGATTAAGGTCTGATACCTTGTGAGAGACTTTGAGACTCTGGAACTCTTAGGGTGCCCAAACTTTTGCACCATGCCATAATAATGTTTTTATTTTTTATTTTTGTTCAATTTATGGCATAAGAAGTAACTATGCATCACTGTTTGCTGAAAATATTGTGCATTTTTTCCATTTCCAAGAGAAACTGTGTTAACATCTGTTCAAATAAAAAATCACCAAAATCTGTTATTTATCAAGGGGTGCCTAAACTTTTGCATAAGACTGTACATAAATTGTTCTGGAATAGAAGGAGTATCACAAAACTTCATACACCCATTTGGCTATTATCCATGGCCCAACAATTGCCTCCAATACAGATTAATCAGTAGATTACCTGTCTTGATTAATCAATGACTAAATTCAAGGCCAAAGTGACATCTTCAAATAGACTGTTTTACAAGGATGTACAAAGAAAAGCAGCAAATCATCCGTTTGATTTAGAAATATAAATGTTAAATTTTACATTTAAAATGTTTAAGTTTTAAACAAGTTTTAAATTAAACAAATCAGATGTACATTTTAAAATTTTTAAAATGTAAATGTAAAACTTTAATACAATTTAGCACAGATTTACAGGACAATATGCAGCATTATTTCAATAAAAGCTGCAGTTTTATGCCCACTATATTCTTTCTATGGAATATGCAGCAAACAAATTTGAACCATGGTCAGGGTAAAAGCTGAGACTTGTTTTTTTACATTAAGAGCTTTTGTTATTAATTATCTACAAGCAAAACTTGTTACAGACCCTGTAGGATATTTTAAATGATTCTCTGCTTGGTATGTACATTTATTAACTAAGGAACAGTACACCAGCTAAATTCTGAATGCAGTTTGATGTGAAGGAATATATGAAGCTAGGCCAAGAAGATTATGGAAAAATAAACGTGAAGTAATGTAAATCCATTTGACAGACACAACAAACCTGTTCATGAGGTAAACAGTGACTCCAGTCCCACAGCCCAACTTCTTCATGAAAGGTGAAGCTGGGATGGTGACTGGGATCCCTCCGTTGCTTACAGATCTCCTCACTGGGACTGCTTTAGGGGTCCTGAAGGCGCTGTCGTCAGCACATCGGGCAGAAGAGGCCATTCTGTCAGAGGAAAACCCATATTGTAATACAGTTAATGACCCAAACGCACAGTATTTAACTTTTCTGGACAGCACTATAGACGTACCTAACAAGGTGAAATCGACCAGTTTAAGCTTGTAGTGTAGCATGACTTCATTTCTAAAAGTTAGCATTTCATAAAATGAAGCCATATTTGATGTAAGTGAAATAAGACGAATTAAAATCCTAAATATATGTAAAAAGATCATATATAACGTTGTCTTTATGTACGACTACGTAAAGCTACAATAAAATAAACAATTTTGAATTGATGCTGGCCTACGTTTATGGTGTTGTGAGGTAACGTCAGTGTAAAATGCCGCAATTTCTTTTGCGTTAAACAGGAATCGCGTCAGTATTTGGCAGCTGCAAACTTAATAGCAATTAAAGTATAATGCATCTTAAAGGACATTAAGTGTTACTGGACACCTTATTTGTCGGCAATAGGACATTATTAAGCTAACATTTAGTCAAAACGTTAACGTTAGCGACCAAACTTGGCGTCGACCGCAACCTTAGCTTTGACGCTAAATTATTCAAAACTTTACTGGTGTTAACATAACGACAGTCGATATGAAGTTATGTGTTGTGTTTTGAATGATATAAATCATCAATTTAGTAAAAGTAATGTAACATTACCTGAAATGTCTTTACACCGTCACAAACTACTACCGTTTTCACGCGCCGACCATTCAAACCGATAGTCCCAGTACGGGGGCCGTGAAGGGACAAAATGAAAACATCGCGTTTGTTCATGACAGCAACAGAGCTCAGACAACACTCCACTTTCCTTCCGTGATAATACTTTAGCATCTAGAGAATGCTGTTGTTACTGTATGTCTAGTTGAGCCCACGTAAAAACTCGGCTACATTACTATAAAAGAGTGCACATCGTTACTTCAAAGGTATTTAAGGACCTTTTTCAAATCTGTTATAGTGGTAATACACCTATTTCACCAGCTGAGGTCAGTGATAATATAAAACTAAATGTTGTGTCTATATCAAGTGCAGTCGTGTTTTCCTGAAATTTGTGATATTATGGTAAAAGGCAGGTCAGTGTTTTCCTGAAATTTGTGATATTATGGCAAAAGGCTGGTCAGTTAGTCAAATAGATAGATAGATAGATTCTAAATTGTTCATTACAAACATATGGCCAGATATATATTTTAATGTCAGCCTTGTAGGGGTTCCAGTGTCATAGACTTTTGTGACGATAAAGCTGTTACAGCACATGGGCAATAGGAGCAATTTAAGAAAGATCTGTGTCATTTTATTATCACATGTGTCTGTTCTCACTCTAACATCACTGACTTGTTGCAAGGCGCTGACCTCGACCTCAACTCTCATGGACCCATTTTTGTTTCAGCTCCTTAACACACACTGCAGATGTTCCCAGCCCAGTCTCATCTGTGTGGAGGGAAATTATTTCATTATGAGGAAGAGGAGCAGGAATTTGATCTGGAGACAAATGTACATGGAGAGGATTTTCCCTCTGTTTAGTCCCATTTCTTGTCTCCCTGAAAGGAAATTAAGTCATGTTTGAGGGCTCTGCTGCCACATGTTCTGGCACATTTTACAGAGTGGTCAGAAAAGAAAGAGACATCCACAGAGAAAGACAGGAGGATGCTTACTGTCATGATCAGATCAAGAACATAAACACAATTTTATGAACTTATTCAAATACAAAAATAAGGTCCGTCTAACTTGCATGGATAACTCTGCACCTTGAAGCAGCTTAATTTGTGAACATTTCACTATTGTTGTGCTAACATATGGCCAGTTGTTATTGTATCATATTTTACTCACTTTTTTGGAAATGTGATGTGAATTTGTGTTTACTGTGTGTACACTACGTGTAGTCTATGCCCGCATGTTGTTTGATAACATGCAAATGTGAAATAATGTCTTCCTCTCAGCGCCCAGTGTCTCCAGATTTCTCTTTAATTGTCAGGAGTACTAGGGTTTAAGAAAGCAAAATTAAACAGTTCAGAAATGGAGAGAACAATGACCCCATAAAGTCCATATAGTAGTTTTCAAAGTTTCGATCAGGGGTTTTCCTAGAGGCCATAAAACTGTAGATGGTTCCCTCAGGCCTGTGAACCAGAGCCTCTGTATGAAGTGAATATTTTAATGCCATGAAACTCAGTTAAAACACATAAAACAACCAAGAATGAAGCAAAATCACCAAAAACTGACACTGACCACAGAGACACAAAACAACTACAAAAAGACTAATTACCTAAACAAGAAACAAAAGAGAACACAAAATGAATAAAAAGACAAAATTAAAAAAGAGACACTAAGCAACTTCAAAATTACTTTCTATTACTATAACAACACCATATTATTTTATTACATATGATCAAACTGGGCTCTACAGTTGATCCCTGGGTCAGAAACTACCCACACCTTCACATTTTACCTTATTAAATAAAAAAAGAGGTAATCCCACCTTCCTAGAGGACAAATGAAAACACGCTAATCTTAATCAAACTGGCTTCACAGCCTTCGTCCTGACTGTCGACCATGTGTGCTGGAGATCAGCCAGTTGTTTCACATGTGGAACCCTTCATTCTGCACTTCAGTGCTGTCAGTCAGAGCACATGCATGGTGGACATTTGTGATCATGTGTACAACTCACACACATGTCTAAGTCAACGTCCTCTTCTTCAAAGTGCCTGTTTTCAATTCGCGTCTCTCAGTTTTATCAGGAATAACGACACATGTCTAAGTCAACGTCCTCTTCTGCCTGTTTTCAATTCGCCTCTCTCAGTTTTATCAGGAATAACACAGTTCTGCTGTTTAAACAAATCTACATTTTATTATGTGGGCAGTGTGTATACAGCATTTTAGTGGTACAAATCAACAGAACACCAAGTAAAACATGTATTTTTCAATGCATGTTGTTAACTCCGTAGCCCTTATACTATGTGCCATGACCAGCACAGTGTAATAAAAATAAACATACATTTGCATATGCAGAAGTGCTAGAGCCATTATTTCAAAGTTGCAAACAAAAAGCCCCATGTACAGCCAATTATACATTACACTTTAAAATCTGTACTTGTTAAGTGCACTTGGTTTAGCATTGTGTTCTCACTTCCAAAGCTATGGCACTGGCACACTTAAAATTTTCTATATCCAAGTATTTGGGTTATTTGACCCCATGAGGTTGAAGCATTGATCTGAGGACAGAGGAGCTGCTAACCAATCAGAAAGTCACATCACAGCACCGATCTTTCTGTTAATCAATAGGCTGCAATTTAACTGTGATAGAACATCAGGCAAAATACATTTAGTTGTGGGAGGATGTTCAAAATGAAAAGTGTCCAGCTTTAACATAAGCAAAGATGAAAGCCAGCTAGCTCACTGGTAGGCCAGTCAGTCCATGCTGTTTTCATCACGTCTAAAAATTTAATGTTTTCATTGTGTATACTGTTTGTTGGAAATGCCAAAAGGTAAAACAAACAAACAAACAAAAAAGTTATGGCATAGTGCAGATGTATAAACTGATCCCAGCATTCTGTACCAGAAGCAAGTCCATGACAAGACAAGATGCTTTAGTTTAGTTACTAAGCAAGTTATCCAATCAACTTTTGTAAAAAAAAAAAAAAGAAAAACCCATATTTCTTTTTCATGTTGCTATAGCTTCTTTTGAGACACGGTGGTTAACTGAATCTAGTTTGTCACCTCATTTTCCCTTTTCCCAAAATGTGCTTTCATTTGTCTCCTTCTGTGGCAGAGTTGTGGTTGAAAACAGAAACCCTGACAAACCCCGAGGCACTTTAGCGCGTGGTAGCAAGTCATTTCTGGCTGCAGCACCATGAAACATTTTTTTATCCTTTCACTTGGACACAAACTCTTAAATTGATATCATGAGTGTAGATTAATTTTCATAACAAGCAAGTGGGCCAGGCAGGTTTTGATTTGTTTAAACTAGGAGATGTTACACAAATGAATTTCGCTACAGACAATATGAGCAATTCAACTATAGCCCTTGGGAGGGAAATGTTGGGTCTGTGAATTTGCCAAATTTTAAAATGCACTAAAATGTTTTCCCTTTTCAAATATAAAACACAACTGGGGGAAAAAAGACAGGTTCCTGCATATATTTTATTTCAACCTGTGGATTGATGTCTCCTCTTGGCTCAAAGAGAGAAGTGAGCAAAGACACTTGGGAGGTACCAGCTTTTATGGATTTGAGAGCAGCCATAAAGATCAAGTCTCACTGAGAGAGGCATAAAACTTATAATAAAAAGCTAGTCCATTATGGTTAGTTTGGTGTGCGTGTATGTACACATATGTCCGTGCATTAAGGCTGAAAGAAGCCAACTTTTGGCAGTAAACACTGACAGACCCACTACTGTAAATCACACAGGGCAGGTCTCCATACATCCATCTGTTTAGACTCATCTTTTCTCTCCTCTCTCAACACATAATCACTTCATCTGTCAACTACAGTGACTGTTAACCCTTTCTAAAATCTGCCTTTTCACTTTTTAAAAATATAAAGTACACATTAAGCACTGATTTGGTGATTTGCCAGTTAAACAAAGGCTAGATGTTGAGGTTAAAACTGTGCTAACCAAAAAGCTGCAACACTTAATTTGGGGACATATAAACTAAATGAAACACAAAACCTTAACATATACTGTAGGCAAGTTTGCTGTTGTAAATTTTACAGACAACTGACCGGGGTGTTCATTCAGACAGAAGATTAACGGAAAGGTGTGAATGTCTGAAAGGGGCTGGAAAAAACTGACAGTTTTGGCCAAATCAGTCCAGCTTCAACTTCAACTTCTTAGCATCTTTGACTTGCAAATAACCAAATGATTACCTGCAGTGCAGTGTTATATTATATATAATAAGGTAATGCTGTGGTATGCTCAGCCGTTCCTATGTAATACTTTGAATAGCAGCTAAACAAATAATCAGTTCATTATTGGCACAGCCTTGTCCGTTTCTTTATGTGCCTCTTCAGCTCATCAGCACCTTGTATCTCCAAGCTGACAAATGAAGGCTCCGGGATGACGGAGAAGTCGAAACAGCAAGCCTGACCCAAATGAGCCTCTGACCTGCGCCCTAAAAGTTGACTTTAAGCCCTTTGAAGACGCACAATCTCTGTAACTCAGTCTGATATATCGGTCCTGATGAAGAGTCTCTTCATGTAGTCATTTTCCTGCGTACCAGTTTCCACAGTGCACTTAATGAAAACATTGTGTTTTGTGAAGGTTGAAATGGATAACATTTGAAAGTGTGCACAACTTCACTGGCCCCATGATTCAGACTTGTGGCTACAATAGCCTCATGTTTAGTTGTGACCTTCTAAAAAAGCTGCAGATTTAGATGATACAGAACACAGAGGCTTTTCAGGTGAGCCCGTGCAATCTTGCAGATAAATAAGCAAAATATTGCCATGTTGTGCAACTTGTAGCTTCTTAAAGATTTAAGGCACTGTTTGAGAAGATATTCAGCAGCTGCAGCGGTGTCGGGTTCTGAAGATTAGATGGCACAGGTCACTCCGGCATCTTCGACATGGCCGCAGTTGGTTTTGCCCCAACCAGAAAATTTACACTGGAAAATGGTGTCCTCAGTCCCTGTGCAAGCGACGTCATCCATCCAGATCATTCCAGTACCTGCACGGAAACAAGTATGACGTCCATCAATCAATCAATCAATCAATCAATCAATCACAGCGTATTTAAAGTGCATTATCACACAATGTTTCAATACACTTTAAATACAGTACACATACATCACAAAATAAAAAGTCATACGACATTTAGAAAAGCAAAACACATTGATTTACCCATAAATCAATCTAGTTAAAAGTCTAGATGCATCATTCTGAACCAGCTGAGGACGTCTCGTAGCACTGAGAGGAAGACCTGTACATCCACTCCATTCCAGCCTTTGTTCTGCCACTGGACAATCTCTGGGATGAAGGCCTGGCAGCCCGCAGAGCCTCCAACACACTGCAGCTGAGGTATGGGGCTGTGACACCTCGCTGTGGTGTACAGAGTCAACTCCTGGACATCACACAACAGCACACTGCCGTCACCCCAACTCCTGACGTGTCCCACCAACAGAAACGGTAACACAGCTGTAATGAGGCACCTCATTTCTCTGCTGTGTGTTCTACAAGAACTCCAGCACCTATCGTTTATGTTTGAGCACAAACTATTTCTGGCCTGTGTGCAGTCTGACGTCTCTGTGGTTTTTCCTTGGCTGTCTTTCTGCATACTTGCAGCTTTATATTTTTCAATCAGTCGGCCGAAGTCAAAACGTTCATTTCCATGTGAATACAACACACTGTATTGACTAGTGTCTTGCCTCTGTCCTCATCACTCCGTGTAGCATATACACTTGCACAAAGAGATGGACTGAAGAGGGATCACAGCCGGGACTTGGTCACACCTTGCAGGTGGATGCTGGTGGCGGTGAGAAGGGGAGCTGGGCATTTCTGACACCTTAAACAGATATTCAAACTGAAAGTATGTGTTAGATGATGCAGGGAGTGGCACGTGCAGATGTAGCTTGAGTCGACCGCTTGAACTGGCTCGCAGGCTTTGCTCCATTAATCTGAGGACCTTCTTCTTCTTGTTATTTTTTTCCATTTAATTACATCTGCTTTTAATTTTTCACTTCTTTTTCCTGTCCTGTTTTACAGTTCTTGTTTTACTCATATCCTGCCCACTGTGCAGTGAAAACCCATAAATACATATAATGGAGTTCACAAATTCCCCTTTCAAAGACACTTAATGAGAGCCCCCGTCGTCGTTACAAATGTAGAATGCGGTAAATGACAGTTAACTCAAGTCTTAAGTTTTGTTTATCATGAAGCTCAAAGGTCCCATCAGATATCAAAATATGTCTGGAAGCAAAATAAGGTCACATCTGGACTTCAGCACCAGCAGTCTTCCCTCTGATGGCTCATGCAGGCGTCTCTTCCCCCATATGTGTTCATACACACACACACACAAAATGATATAAGAGCAAAGAAAGAGACTGAACATGTTGGCTGGAGCTGCTGCTGAGTTTCTTCATCAGCTGAATGTGTGAGCAACACACACAGTGTGTAGGGCATCAACCACTGAGATCATACATAAAGTCAACTGAACCCACTGACTGGGTGACTTATGTGGAGGATATATTTGCACCTAATGACAGGGAATCAACCAGTTAAACACTGCTGGGTTTACTCTGCTTTGTGACTTAAAGTCTACAATTAAAAAAGTCTTGGAGCCAAATGATATTAAACAAAGGGAACAATGATACCACTTCCACATAATTCAGGGTCTAAATCCAAAGAAACATTCATCATTAGAAGTGTGTGTACACTATTCTCCTTTTTGAGAAATCGAGGTCTCCCATTGCTTCCTCACAGAACTGTTGATCAGATAATATTGTATCCGATAATAAAACACACAGTCCAGCTGGTATGCAAAGCTTTTGGCAGTTTTTGTCTCCGCTATAAACTTTGTCTTGTAAAACCAAAGTCACTGGAGGCTTCAGGAAGTTGCAGATGTGCAACAGTGACTGGAGGAGGTGGTTCTTGGTTGTGAGAGATTGAACAACATTTGGTTTATGCATGGTAGGCGAAGAGAGGCTGTTAATCACTCAGCTGTCAGTTTGAATCATGGACAGATTAGTGCAGGGGTTTTCAACCAGTGGGGCATGCCCCCCTGGTGGTCCACAAAGGTATTGCAGGTGGTCCCTGACAATGTCCTCAGTAATGTGGTTTCACTGTAGGAATTTTTAAAAACACTTTCAAGTCATGGTGACTTTCACGATTAAAATGGTGCCGATCAATTTTATGCACCACACAACAGTGGCTCTTGGGTTTCTTCTTAGTCAGAATAGTGGTCCACATTTGAAAACACCTGTATTAGTGAATGGCCAGAGCCTCTGTATGAAGTGAAGGTTAAGACAAAAAAACAACTACAAAGACACAAAACTACCACTAAGAGACACAAATTGACCATGAGATGACCACAAACCGAGTGCAGGAGCCTCATTTCTCAGTTTGAAATGTCTGTATGCTACCGTACTTGGAGTTACTTTTTTTTTTTTAAATCTGTGCCCATGTCTTGCATACAAACAAACAAACAAAAAAGACTGACAAAGATATTGCAAAGTTTCATTGTCTGCACTGAGGCTTTACAGTCTGTTACAGTGTATAAGTAGTGCCATCCTCTTTACTTCATTCCATTATTTGGATAAAACAAAACACTAATAGGAAGAAATGTGAGAAACTTCAGCACGAGAACCTGAGCAGGGAGCCTTCTTCCAGGGTAGATAAATACTAATTATTTATTTTGTCAGAAATGATGTAAATTTCTATAAAGTCTGATAAAAATGCTGAATTTGAAGGCTGAGCTCTGAATAAAACATCCTAGTCAAACCATTTACTTCCAACATTCCTGCAAAACAAAGCAACTGGCTGCTGGTTTGACATCTTGAGAGCAGCACGTAAAAACCGCACGCACACACACACACACACACACACGTCTCCATGTATGTGTGCACAGGAGATGAGGTATGTGCTGGAGAAAGTGCAAACAGGGCTGCGGCGGCAGCCAGCTCAAGTGTTGTTGTACACGAGACCCAGCTGTTCTGCTGCTGCTGCACCTTCTGAGGGTTTTTACTTTGTTGGACATGGACCTTTAAAGCACTGGCTCTTGGTTTACACATATATTTTGAATATCCACAAGGTTACATCTGCTCACCCCAAACTTAGTGTCAAATGATCAAAACATTGCGTGGGATTTCAAGGAACTATTAGGGAGAGTCACTAAGTTTCAGATGAAGGCAGATGAAGAAGAACACGGTGCAGAGCATCAGTCAGGCCTGGGTTCTGCACAAGTCCACTTTTTCTATCTATCTAACTGCTTCCAATTGAGGGATGATGTCTGTGTATCCACAGAGATTACAAAGTCAGAAAACCTCTTTTGCTTTTGTTTGGTCACCTCTGCAATGCTGTTAGTATAGTATTTCATTCACTGAGAACAGTCTGAGCTCAGGAGACCGAAGGTGTTTTTCCATTACATCTGCTTGGCTCCGTTAAGTCAGATTGTGGTATGTTTGCCTTGTTAGTTGGGTTAGTTTGGGCAAGTTAATCTGTAAAATGTGACCCATCCTTTCTCAAGAAAAACTGTTCTAATAAAGTATAACTCTTAATTTTGTGCTGCTGATCCTTGTAGGTTTTGTTATGCAGTGTCTTTTTTGTCTCAGTGTTATGCACCAAGTTGCAGTGGAAAACACCCACTGGTAAGAACCACAACTGTAGCGGGTGTTTTCTCCACCAGTAACCCCACAGGGCAACAATGAGCCAAGTGCACACTCGAAAACAGACTTCCAATAGCAACACAGAAGTGAGATTTATGCTCTGTTGGAAGTGTTTTCAAACTATATGTTTTAGTTTTACAAGAGAAAAGATTTCAAGGATGAGGAACAACTGTTTCCTTTGACAAATGCACGTCTGGCGAAATGCCCTGCTTTTTTTTATAGACCAGCACACAGTCACATCTCTGAACCTTTCTATCAAATCAAAATCAAAAAGGTGAGTGACTCATCTGAAAGGATAAATCTGAATTCCAGACTGTGTTCAATTGAATCCAGCTGTGATGTTAGTCACTGCTGTTGCCTGGAGGTCATCCCCGGGAACGAAGGTTTTCCCCCAGTTTTCCAGCCTTATTGGTAACAACTCTGGACACAGACTCTGAATGATGTAAGGCTAACTGGAGAATAAGCTAAACAGAGAAACAGAGCGGTGGATATGACCTCTGAGGCTTTCTTGTCAACATCTGGCTTATATGACTTTACTTATAAAACCTTTATATTAATCCCTGCAGCATTTTAGGGCACTGTTTAAATAATAGCACCCAATAGCAAAAATAGTAGAGTTAGTAAAAATCAAAATTACTTCCATTTGTAAATTTCACAGTGGATAAATACTGTGGGCAAAAATCATTTCATTGATTTAATCAGTTTCCCAGTTATGTCCATTCATCTCATATAGACAACCTGCGACTGAGGTGTTCTTTATTTGAAATTAAGGCCACTGATCCCTAAAGAAAAACTTTAAAGGAAAAGCACCTTCAATTTTATAATAAAATATTATGATTTACTCATCCTTGTGCTCCTGTAGTTAATCAGTTTCCCAGTTATGTCGATTCATCTCATATAGACAAAGATGGCAACTAGAAATGACACAATCACTCTGGCTTTGTGTGAAAGTGGCTCAACTTTTACAAAAAAAAAAGGTGAGAGAGATATTTCCCATCACAATCTTGACTTTTCTGAAAAGTCCCTTGACAAACTGTCAAAATATATATTTTTCTTGAACCAGTTATTTTTGATTCTGTATGGTTAGAAGAGTCTATGAGGATTTGGGAAATGCCTTCAGAATTTGGGGTTTTACAGGGTTAAAACATTTTGTAAGTCTTACTTATTATTATCTTTGTGACTCAAGCGTATGCAGAACATGAGAGTCATAAGCTGGGGCTAATATTTCATCATTCCTTCACCACAAAACACAATACTGAGTTAAAGTGGCTGCAGCCAGTTTCATCTAGTGAGCTCGGTTACACCAAGCTACACTTGGACAGTCTTGAAAACTGTGCGCTATCTGTTACTGAAGGACTAAAACATGTAAAATCATGCTTATATGTGTGCATTGACCATCTCATACCCTGTCCAAAGCGTCCGGTCTTATGAATCTCTCTGGCTTCTTGGAACCCAAGCATCCTACACACCACATCTCCGTCCTTTTTATCCCAGACATCGTCACACACCGTCCCCCAGCGGCGTTCATGGAAAACCTCCACCCGACCTTCATGAGGCCATGATCCATTCACCAGCCTCACCAGACTCTCCACTGCAAAACACACACACAAGTATGCATTATTATTAGAATCTGTGTATGCACATACACAAATTGTTAAAACATAAAACATATGCACTGACCGAGACTGACAAAGTGCTGGAGGTTAAAGCCAGACACGTTATCTAGACAGGATATTAGTCTCATCGGACCATCATAAATTTTAACTGTGTACCATTTAATCAGGTATTTTGCACTAAGTAGCCCATCATAATTTAATATCTACCATAACATCATACCATTGTATCAGCTGTACATATTTGTGTCATATTTCTGCAGAAAACCAGCGAAACAAAACCAGATATTAGAAATTATTTTTCCAGACCGTGCTGGAAGAACAAATCCCGAAAGAGAGAAATCACAGAGTGATGGCACATACTTCGTTTTGACTATCCCATATGTAGTTCTGAATAAGAGATCATTAACTGAATACTCATTTATGTGAAGCACATGTTGAAACTATTTGTACACTCCTCAAAAACTCAGCAGTGTTTACCAACAGGATGTTGGTGTGAAGATGAAAAAGCAGGGATTAATAGTCCTTATGATGGTTAGTTACCTTTTTAAATTTGATGCTTGACTGTTGAATGTCCCTACATGAACCAGTTGTGCCACAAGACCAAAAAGAGCTTTCCCACGGACTTGTTGCCTGCTAAATCCTCATTTCATTATCTATCCCTGCCTCTGCTTTAGGACAGAGGAAGTCTGGGCTAGGGATTTGAAACTAATTGTAACAGTGTTTGGGCAGAAAACAGAGAAATACCAAAGGCAGATGTCTGGCTTATCACAGGGCGCTGACTAAGCATCAACAGCTTCTGGTGGGAGTGCATAGAGATACGATTTGTGTGACAGTGTACGACCAGTAGAAACAGTCCAGCTTCTGGTGGGAGTGCATAGAGATATGGTTTGTGTGACAGTGTATGACCAGTAGAAACAGTAATCTGAAGGCTTGGTTATTTCCTGACAGTGACATTTGCTTTGCTTTGTGAGTGCAGGGTACACAGTCGGGAGGTGCAAACAGGTGGGAGGTTCACTCAAATGAGGCAGCTCAAAGCAAGATTTTTTTTTGTACAAAATGCGTCTTAGAATAAACAGAACCAAGACCGTTTCTGGCACAATGTGTCTTCAAAGCCAGTCTGGTAATTTTCTCAACAAATGCAAACAGAAAACCCAGAGCCAGTGTGCAGCGACAACGGAATAACACTTAAAATGTTCATTTTAACTAATCACCCCGCAGACAGCAGAGGTGTTTATTTCTTTTCAAGGAAGAACAGAAATAGTAACTAAAGGATGTACATTGTACTGTACTGCATTGCATTGTTGTCATTCACCCTTGCTTCCAAACTGGCCTTCTTTAAATATAATAAAATATTAAAATGTCACAGCCACAAATTTCAATTTGGATCAGAATATATAAAAATACAGTATATCTAGCTGCTATTCCTGTGGTGGAAAACTAGCCTCAGAAAGCTGTTTTCAAATACAGGCTTAAGTTTCAGTAATTAATTTCTTTTTCAGATTCCAAAGGCTTGTTGACAATGAGAAAAGTTAGAAATCAAAATAAATACTTTTTGGGGTAAACAGCCTATCCTGTCTCTCCACACTCCGACAGCAGACATCAAACACAGTGGTTCCATGAACTTGAAACACTCTCCAATTTGGACTAAGCTTCACATTTCAAAAATCCCTGGTACCTTTTCTGTGAAAGCAGGGAAACTAATGTGAGCTACATGAGACATAACTGTTTCTGTTCAGAACAAGCTACAGAAGTGAGCTCCAAGTGTTGAAGGTCGTCCAAGTGGTTCAGATGTCAGAGGCCAGGGGAGCTGCTGCAACACGAGACTGTCAATACCTGAAGAAGGCCAAAACATGGAGTGTTCACATATTACTAATGTTTATCCGACAGGACTGGACAGGAACCAGTGGCTTCGAGACAACACTTAACCAGCACCATCTGTGAAATCAATTCAGATGTTATTGTCACTCACATTGTTTGTGCAGTCTTTCTTTTTTGACTCTTGCAGTGGCTCTTGTTTTGTGTTATTAATCTGCATCTAATGCTGCTTTTCTGTCCAGCGTATATGCACACTAACATTGTCAATCAATGCCTCGCATGTTCCATTTTGGGAAATATGCTTATTTGCTTTCTCCTCTCGTATCTGTATAGAAGGCTTCAGCTAGCAGCTGGTTAGCTTAGCTTGGCATCAGGACTAGAACCACTGGTTAAACTCGATGTGATTCTGAAGATTAATCTGTAAAAGGAAAGTAAAAGAATGATTCCCCCCTTTATTTTCAAGTGGCTTCAGACTGGGCACTTCGACGTGTGTGTTTGCTTAACTGTGTGTGCATGATAGAAATGAACAAAATGAAGTTACACTGTGGGGGAGTTGTGTTGTTCTGCCAACAGATAATTTGATCCAGCAAATACAAAGTAAACATAAACAACAAAGAGTGGGGGGGGGGGGGGGG